GAGAAAGAGAGGGAAAGAGAAAGAGACATAGAGAGAAAGGGGGTTGAGAGATAGGGAGCGTGCACTGCTTTGCGAATAGCAAAAAAATTATAAAAAACGACATATATGCATCTTGAATAACGCTTAAAAGTTGGGTACAATAAACAATAACCACTGTAAAATAATACAAACGCCCTTAACAATTAAGCTGATCTGTACAATAGCAGAAAAAACACGAGCTTTTCTCAGCTTGACAGAGTTATACGAACCTGATATTTTACAGTTAAGTAGATAGTTATACAGAGTATTAGGTAGTTAGTTATACAGAGATTAGTGATACAGAGTATTCGGTAGTTAGTTATACAGAGATTATAGTGATGGGACACCACGATATATGTCGTTCATACTAGTTGTACATCGCTAACTATATGGCATACTAAGTCTACGTGCGGCATCAAATCATAAGCTCGCATGGAACTCACATGGTGAAGATATATACCATAGACTTTCCATGCGTTATATTCAAATCATGGAAATATATAGAGACACTATATTATTTCTATGATTCAAATAGACCTATATAATACCATAGATGCAAAATGTACTTAACTGTCGGTGTTTATGAGGCTAGTTGATCCTGGCAATGCGGTATTTCTGTATCCCTTCTCAGCCTTAAAAACAAATTTAAATAATAAATATACGAAAATGAGTGCGTGCATGTGTGCAAACGTTAAAAAAACCTTATATATCATAGCGAAAAAGAGAGAGAGAGAGAGGAAGAAAGAGAGAGAAAGAGAGAGAGAGAGGAGAGGAAGGGGGAGAGGAGGGGTGAGTGGTGGTAGGGGGAGAGGAGGAGGAGGAGGAAGGAGGAGGAAAGAAGAGGAGGAGGAGATATGGAATACTCACATCAATTTTCCTCTGTAAAAATAAAATATCACAAATTTGAAATTAGGTTGTAATGCGAAGTTCCTTCCTATATTCATTCACTTATAACTGAGCAAATAGATTCCCATCAAACTCTAGCTTGTGGATTATTATGTGACTGTGTAAATAGAACGACGTATTTAAGACGAGTGCGTGTCGGGTGTGGCACGGACCATGAGGCAAGCGTGCGAGTGGGCACGGGCTGCTTCGCGTAACATACGATTCGTAGCGATTGTTCCTGTTAACGTGACCTAGATACACACAGTCCGCACCTGCACACGCAAGACCGCGAGTGTGGTGCCGCGATTTCCATAAAACGCTATGCGACTTAACGTAGGAGCTCCTGATTATATCAGGAGTAGATAATAGGGAATCCCTATTATCTATACTCCTGATTATATATAACTAATCTAGCTGTAGTGCCACAGTATTAAACTAATATAATATACGACATACATCTACATCTACATCTATATGGTTACGTCGATCTGTCACTCTTGACAATTACTCAACGGTTAACATCTGCAAGCATAACATAGCCAACGCTCGAATTTCAACCATACAGTTCTATGAAGAAAATTACGAGATGAATATAAATAAATAAATAAATAAATAAAATTGTGTGTGTGTGTTGCGTGGTGTGTGTGTGTGTTGTGTGTGTTGTGTGTGTGTGGCGTGGTGTGTGTGTGTGTGTGTGTGTGTGTGTGTGTGTGTGTGTGTGTGTGGGTGTGCTGCGTGCGTGGTGTGTGTGTGTGTGTGTGTGTGTGTGTGTGTGTGTGTGATGTGTGTGTGTGTGTGTGTAGTGTGTGTGTAAATGTGTGTGTGTGTGTGTGCGTGTGTGTGTGCGTGTGTGTGTGTGTGGTGTGTGTGGTGTGATGTGTGTGTGTGTGTGGCGTGTTGTGTGCGTGTGTGTGTGTGTGTGTGCGCGCCGTGTGTGTGTGTGTGTGTGTTTGTTTTGTGTGTTGTGTGTGTGTTTCGTTTGTGTGTGGTGTGTGTGACATTCAGTGTCACTGAGTGTGTGTTGCTGCACATACACTGTTACACATACTTACCAAATGTGTCCATATATCCACGTACACGTCTCGGTATGTAGAGTCTCAGTCATGCGTCGTATCTTGATTTAATCCACACTAAAAGTGTTGAAGTGTTTCCATGTACATGTACACCGTACCGTGCCCGACTCTCTCACTGTTTATTTCTTGCTGTCTCTGCCTCACTGACACTGCCTTTTGAATTAAATTCACGCCAAATAAATCCGTTTACGATACACGTAAAGCCACGGGGACACGCACCCGCACGCACGTTATCCTGTCCTTTTTGTCACATGCTTTAATTGATAGTATCAAATTGTAATCGATTTAACACAATGTCACGCACGGATGTGTAGTTTTCGCTCCAAGATGGCGATATATCCCACTAGAGTGACTTAGGTTGACTAGACTGGCTTCGGACGTCCCCGCGGCTAGGTCCGCTAGGTGGTTCTCTTCAAAGGTAGATTTTCTCAACGACTTATGGAGTTAGTCTAGTATCAATATTCCTACACGCGGTACGTGAAAATCATGCGGCGGATGTCGCAAGAATAAATTAAATTAGTCGTTATCACATAGTTTCCTAATTAGCATATATGCGTAAGAATATAATAATAAAGAATGTAAACTAAATTAAATTAATTTTTAAAATAATGATTTAAAATTAATCTATCTAATCTGTCTGTCTATCTATCTATCTATCTATCTATTATCTATCTATCTATCCTAATCTATCTATCTAATGCTATCTATCTATCTATCTATCTTATCTATCTATCTATCTATCTATCTATCTATTTCCTTCTATCTATCGTATCTATCTATCTATCTATCTATCTATCTATCGTTATCTATCTAATCTATCCTATTCTATCTGTCTGTTCTGTCTGTCTGTCTAATCCAGGGGCGTAGCCCAAGTATGTAGCACTGTAGGCCGGGCCCTAACACTTTTTTTTTGGCCCAAGTATCTTCTTTTTTGTTAAACACTCGATAATTTCAAAAGATTCAAATCATAAGCTTGCTGGGATCGAGTTTGAAGAGTCGTAGAAGTGAAATACCTTATTGAAAGAACGTAGCAAGAATATGCTAATTAGGTGACCTATTCTTCTGTCATCTATGCTGTCATTTCTCTATCGCGTGCCGTTTCATTCAAACACTACCGCCGAAAAAGACTAGGATCTCGATCTGTTATGTAAGTTTTTTAAGCATTTTAACTCGTTCGTAACACCTATTTTTACATCGTTCGTGAACCCTATTAACTCGTTTTGTTTTTTGGGTTTAAAAGTGATATGAATGAGGTGTCTCAAAGTTTAGCCAAGAGGCAGGGAACGGCAGACACTGAACACTCGGAAGGCGCGTTTCCGGCCATCTGGGGGTTTTGTTAAAACCAAGAAATTTCCGTTGTACGCTCCGCGCCAACCCATGGTCGCGCTCGCGCTCAGATAGTCGATGGCCTTAGCAAGCTTGAAAATCGCTGGCTACGCCCTGCTATCTATCTATCTATCTATCTATCTATCTATCTATCTATCTATCTATCTATCTATCTATCTATCTAACTATCTATCTATCTATCTATCTATCTATCTATCTATCTATCTATCTATCTATCTATCTATCTATATAATTATGCACGCATGCTGCACATGTCGGTCGTGTCTCTCTTCTTCGCTCGCGCGTGCGCTCACCCTCTTCTCTCTGTCTCTCGCTCCTTTGCTCTTTTTAGCTCTCTCTCTTTCTTATTCCGACTGTAAGAAAATATAGAGTAGCCTAATGCCGCGAAAACTACACATATATCCGTACCTTAGTTCCCATGGCTCGTTATATGTCGCAGACGTAGTATAATATTATGCGCTGGAGCAATGATTCGACTTATTGTCAGGAAATTCCAACATTAGCTATGCTAGCTGACGTCATATTGTTCTCGCGACCTAGCAACGCTGGCGCTGTTGCTGCCTATGTTTGTTGACGTCATCCGCGTGGATGACGTCACGCTGTATTGTGATGCGTTTCAGCTGCCAGCGCTGTCACGTACGCTCCTGCATGAGATGCCATCATGCCATCGCCTTACTTAACGCAAGAATTATCCAATGATATGGATAGACTAGACTACATGATTCACAGCGCTAGAAAATTTGAAGAAATTGTCAGATTGACTAAAGTACGTTAATTACTATAAAATACTATTACTATACTTACATACGTATTTTAATCGGGGCATATTTTGTGTTACTATAACCGTTCATTCGTTACAGGAACATTTTCTAGAATTGTTGATTTTCTGCCGCACGTTTAAACGAAACTATTTATTATAGAACTGTTAAACTTTAGGTGAATTTTCTTTAAAATTTCATTGAGGTTTTTGTTATATCTTTTATGATTAATAAAAAAACTTGCAGGAGGTCGTAGATCTGAACGCAAAATGCCGACGTCTCGAAACACAAGTTGAGGTATGTAGATGCATATGTTGCGTAGGCCTAAAGCGCTTTCTTTTCCATGAAATTCTTAATTAGAAACTACTTATTAATCCTTATTTAAATAGATTATTTATTTGTTTATCTATTGATCTACGTGATTATCCATCCACACATACTTTTACAATGAATTTTAAATTTAATTATTAGTTATTATTTATTACATAAATCGTTTTACATGACACGATCGACACCCCGTTGGACTTGCATTGCAGTCGATGGAGGGCCGTGTCGTAGATATGGACACAGAGCTGGACCGTAAGGAAGACCTCACACAACTCTACCAGAACGAAACGGAGAATCTACGCACGGATAATCGGAAGCTCCGCTGGGAGAACTACGACCTACGGCAGGAGAATCAAGCACTTGAGTCGAAGTTACGCCGCACTAGGCTGGGATTGGTGAGTGTGTGAGCGTGTGTGTATGTGTGAGTGTGTGTGTGTGTGTGTGTGTGTGTGTGTGTGTGTGTGTGTGTGTGTGTGTGTGTGTGTGTGTGTGTGTGT